ATGGGAATCAGTAGTTATAGCAGTGCCAGGCAATCTGCAGGACTAGCCAGAGAATCACCACTGAGTGAATCAAGCTTGGTGAGAAGCCAATCTCCTCCATCAGGCCCAGATATCAAGCTACTCATCTAGACAACACCACTCTTCCAGTGGTAACTCAGGAGGTGTTTCTCCCTGCCTCTCTACTGGCAGCAGCTGCAATTACAACTGCAGCCCTTTCTCCTCCTTTTCCCTTCCTACTCCTCCCTGTCCTCCTCTACTCTGGATCTGGGCCTATCCTGCCCCCTCCTCCACTGCATCTGTCACTCTACCCATGTTATCCAGTGTCAGGGCTCCTGCTGCCAACTTGGATGGGGAGCAAAAGTTTTACAGTGAGGGACACACCCAATTGGTTTGACTCTGTACCTTGGAGTAAATGCAGTGAGTGGATGCAGGGGGGGGGAGGTTTAGTGAGCCCTCTTTCTGTCCCTCATACATTTCAGCTGTGAAATATTATATTACTTTGGCTTAGGAACCCACTCAAAACAGCCTTACATATCTTCTTAGTCATGTCTATTTCCACAACTCACCCCCATCAGGTAATGGTGTAGCATGGACAAACAGGATGGGAGTGGTCTTCACCAGAAGTACCAACTCAAGTTGTGCGTAGTTTCTTGGCTAAGATTTTGCTGGATGAGCCTGATTACCACCAACATAGGGGAATGTGGCAGTGTGGGATCCACCTTGGCAGTTACAGAAGCATTAAGTGAAAGACAGAGAGTCTATTCTTACTCTTCTTGACTCAGCCCTGCTTCTCTTGAGTTTGCTTTACAAATGCCAAGGAAGGTGAAGGTCAGAGGCATTAGTGTGCAACTGCTAATAACATTACTGTTCAGCCAAATTCTTTTAAAATAGAGACTTAATAAGGGTTACCAACTGAACTGTCAGCACTGCCTCTTCGACTCTGTCTTGGTTCAGGTTCCAGATAAACTGACCTGGCATTGCAGCAAGAGTACCCTACATCCCTCCATTTCTTGTCACATTGGAAAAGATTCTGGATCAGTTCACACACCTACTCCTTTCAGCCCATTCATGGTCATACTTCACACTTGAAAATTAGTCACACCTGAAAAATAGTTCTGGTGCCCTCTCAAAATGAATCTTCAAAATGCTGATGCCAGTTCTATCACCATTTCTAAAGTTTTACAGAAATTGAACAATTCACCAAATGGCAATCTTCACCAAAGAACAATAAAGTAAACCTGGTAGATTTGCATTTTTTGGAACTATTCATGCCTAAATTCATTTTTATTCATCACTGATTATTTTTAACAAAATTATTTGCAACAGTAAACAGATTCCATTCCAAGTTATATAATGGAAGTATTATTTATAGTAATTGTCTTTTCAGTAGCTTCTGGTTTTTCTTATCATTTTGATCTTTCCCTCCTGAATCAGAACATACCCACATGCCAGTGAAAAACTTTATAACAAGCATGTTTTTCTCATTAAAACCACAAGCATAAGAACATTAAATTTTGTCTAAACCCTGGGCATAAAGGCTCTTTAGTAAGACAGATTCTTGGTACACATGTGCCACAGAGCAGATGTTTCTTCATTGCATCACTGAAGGTTTTAACTTTTATTTCTTTGAAGAGAGCACATATTCAGTAATGAATTTAGGCTTATTGTTTATTTTGCAAGTCTTGTCAGTTTAAGAGTATGTAATTTAATAGATCATGCTCACTGAACTCAGGAGAGCTGTGCCATTTGATTTTGGCTGGAGAGCTGCCTCTACTAACAATTCTGAGCTTATCCACATTAACATCTCAAGCTGATTTCACCATCACCCTGACGTAAGTGAATGTTGCTGAGTGAAAGAAAGAAGTGAGGGAGTTTTATTTTGTGTCCTATGTCAGTTGCTTTGGAAAGAAAGGTGATGGAACACAAATGCCTCCTATTCTTCAAAAGCTGGATGAGTTCTACACGGTGACTCTGAATCTCTTTTTGGCTTAATGAAGGAAAACTGATTACTTAGAAAAACAATATGACTCAGTGAAAAAGAGGTTCCACATTTACCTGGACAGTTTTGGAGAGTGACCAGGTGGAACTTATAACATTCAAAATTTATTGATTTCAATGGAAAAGTCGGACATGTGCTTAAACTTTTCTTTGAAACTAATGGGACCAAAAAGCACTTAATTTTGGTCAAATTTACATATGCTGTGTTGTTTTGAACAAATGAATTAACACTTGTGGGACTGAACAAGAAAAATATTGTAAAGCACTTTGCAAATTGAAAAGTGTTATATGATGCTAACATACAGGACTAAAGGGATTGAGCAGCTATGACTCTGAAGGGACTAGCACTGGTTTAAATCCAGATCCAAAAATTTAACAGCTTATTCTGTCAACTTGTCACTTTCTAATCATGCAAGAAATTTAGCTTTAGAGAAAACAGTTATCAAAAGTACCTAGTGATAACAATTCTTTCATCTTCTTGGAATGTGAATTATAAGACATACAGTGCCACATCATATAGATTTTCCCCCACATAAGAATTGCTGAAACTAATTTTGCTACTACCTTCTTGTTTTTTACATTCACTGAAAGTACTTACAAACCAAACATATTAAACTTACAGTTAGTTTTCCATTAAGCTTTTGTCATAAATTGCATGAATAATGTGTAAATATTTTTTCAGTTGTTTAGAATTCAGGAAAATTGACTTTTATGATAGCCTATTGAAGTCATAATACATGCCTTCCAACATGGAAAACTCCTTCCAAAAACATCCAAAAATATTTTCCAGATATTGTAGGAACATATATATGTATACATGAATTAACTTCATTGTACACATTACCTGCAATGTCTAGTGAAGAACAATAACACAACTATTTCCCAGGAAAAAGCTGCATTGCATTTAACCTGATCCTACAAAAAGTGCATTTTTAGAATGTGAATTCAGAATTACTTTGTTCTATTTAAATCAGGAAACAAGCTCATTTTAGAATTTTGAGATAATGCTGCTGTGGGTCTACTCTTATCATCTATAAGCATTGAACAATATGCAATATTTTTCCCAATAAGAGCAAGAATTTGAGGATGTTCTTTTTTTATGTCCCATGGGCAAATATGTGTGGAATGGTAGTTGCTAGACGCATGAACTTCATCTAGCTCCTTGATTCCCTTTCTGATCCCATTAAACACTACCAACTGCAGGGGACCAACCCATCTTATTGACAGGTTACACAAGAGGCTCCTATACTTTCCAAGCTGTTTCCTATCCCTATTTCTCTCAAGAGGACCATTATTGGAAATATTAGAATCATGGTCTCTGTAGCAGATCCCTTTGTTGACAATACGTTTCAAGAGTTGGCATGAAATGGATCCCCAGTCCCTTCAGTCTTTCATCATTTATTTCCATATGAAACAAGGACTAGCAAAGTGGGGGGGGGGATAGTATTAGAGATATGTTATTTTGGGACTTTAGCAAAATAACTTTAGCACAGGTGCAAAATTCCAAATATCCCTACCAACATTTGGAGGTTCTTATGGACCTTGCTTCTTCCTATTATTTTCATGTTAACAACCTGGGCTGTCCTTGGTTAAAATCTGATCCTTTTGCATGAACTACTCTTCCTTTCCCTGATCTATGATGGTTGAGGGCAACTGGAAGTCTATCTATACAATCTAGAGGGAACTGGCTTGGAGAATTGCTCTCCTTGAATAAAGATGCCTCAAAGGATCTTCCTTTTTATTTTAGGATGCTTGGAAACATTAGCTCAATTGGTCACATGTATTTTTGAATTGTATTGTTCTTTTAAATGGTAAATTGCTTTGATTCCTAATTTTTGGGGGAAAGAGGGATGATGATGATGATGATGATGATTATAATTATAATATTAATGAGTGACTAATAACAAATTTTAGAAATGAACGAATTAATAGGAATTAAGTAATTTAAAAGCAATTTGAGAGCCAGTGTGGTTTGAGTGTTGGGTTAGGACTCTGGAGACCAGTGTTCAAATCCCGGCTTGGTCATGGAAACCCACTGGGTGACCCTGGGCAAGTCACACTCTCTCAGCCTCAGAGGATGGCAGTGGCAAACCTCCTTTGAACAAATCTTGCCAAGAAAACCCCATGGGTTGGCCTAAGTCGGTAGGGACTTGAAGGCACATAACAACAACAATTTAAAAGGGAAGGTAACACAGGAGGCTTATGATAGAGGCCAGACAGTATCCTATTTTCATCTCCAAACTGCACCTAGGAAAGGCAACCTGATGCATCAGAGTTAAGTATCAGATGAAAAGCTCCTCAGCAGACACGCAATGACAGAAAGAAAGAGAAAAATTCAGCTGTGAAAAAGACAGAGGAAACTCTCCCCTTCTCTCTTTGCAGAGCCCTCCTCAGCGCTTGAGAAAGTGACATTTTTGGACTACAGCTGTCAGTTAACTACAGTTTAAAAAAGCAACTTTCCCAAATTCTGGGGACTCCAGTGAGGGGAAAAAGACTTTTTCAAGGAACCCCTCACAAATTAAGAGAATCCCCCAGAAAGCTTATTGGCTGAGAGGGTTTTTGGAGGGAGAAACCTTCCCCTCCCATCCCACCCCACTTTTGTTGCCTTTACCTTTCTCACTACTCCAAAGCGAGGATG